CACCCACACCGACACCCACACCCACCCACACCCACACCCACACCCACGCCCACACCCACCCACACCCACTTCCAGCTGGATATTTCCATTTGGAAACATTTTGCTGCATAGGCTTATGGCATTTTTGAAACCGTCGGCCGCAAAGCGTTAAATAAACCCAATGAGAATGACGTTAGTGAGAAAAAAAGATTACATCGATATTTTATTGGTCGAAAGTTGTCAACAGACACCGACACTGACGTCGAAGAAAATTTAGAAGCATTTTTTTTAGAATCAACAATGACTAATATGTTTTCACGAGAGTTTTAAACAGAACAGAAAAAATTGATCTCGAGCAGTATATATACTAGTGACATGTTCGATGTTGTACGTTAAAAACAGAACACAAGGTAATTCTATTTACTATCGGTTGGAAAAGAATTCTACTTGCATCTCCAATTGCGTCAATTTTTGATTGATTATGGCATCTCACTCACAAATGCAATTAATATCAGCCCAACGTGATTCTATAGAATCTGTAAGTGATAACATTTAAGTTTAGTTCTAACTGAAATTTACTCGATTTTATTAATAGACTACATCGATGTGGGAAAGTATTTATGAACAATTTCCTGCAACAAAACAAGATGCTCCATTTGGTAATGATGAGAATAAAAATTCACTAGACGGAAATCTGTCAGATAACGATAATGAAGAGTATGAAATTGAAAATAATGAACCAGAACCAAGTCCGAGGAATCAACGAAAAATTGACACAAATCAAAATATTAGACCTTGGAAAATACCCACAACTCAAAATCATTTAATAATTATTGTGAATGACGAGAAACATTTCGATCAAGTTAAGCAAAATATAAAAAGGGACTTTTCAAGACAAGGTTTCAATTGGAGTGATGAAGAAGAAGAAATACGCCCATGGTGTTTTGGGTTAACATCAATACATGTTAAATTTATTCAGTCAAAGATAATTGATTTGTCAATACTTTCTTTAGCTTCATCTATACCTTTTTGGTTAACATTTAAAAAAGAAAAAGAACAAAACAAATCAGACGATCAAAGGAGCAAAAAGCCAATTCGTCATAGACTCAATTTAAATTACGATGTTTCACTTCGTTATGGTGCATTGACTAATGTAAATGAATTTTTTTATGCACAAAACCATTCATTCGGCAATAATGACTACTTAAATTGGTCGTTTTTTTTAAATGATCAATCTAATAATAATGGCTGTATTGATTGGATCATAGAAAATTCTGAAACAAGATTAAAAAAACAGTTATTAATTTCTAATATTAATCATTCTGTTATCATTGATTCAGATGAAGATGGTTTTAGCTTATATATATGCCAAAAATGCAACATGAACGAATTTAAGAGTAAGTCAACCGTGAACCAAAACTATCGTAATAATCGCGGAAACAATTTTTCACGTCCACGTTCGAAACATAACAAAGAAAATGTTTTAAAAGATAGTGACCCACCACCATCTCATCGTCGGTCAAGCCATGGACCTCGTAAAGCTGTACCAATTGGCTCGACAAATGATGCATACAAGTCTAAACCTCTTAATACTGAGGGACTTCATCAGACAAATCATCAATCTCGACAACAACAAAGAGCCACTTATGACCCACTTCAGAGATGTAGTGAATATGGAGGTTGCTACTTTTCCACTGTTGAATTTAGTATGCATTATAATCCATTGCATGTAAGACATCCTCAACAAAATATTATCAATGAAATAAAACAAAAGCTTTCAACACTTATCGAATATTTCCTTGCACAAAGAATAACTGTTTGTTATGGAAAAATTAATTCAAAAAGTGGACCAACGCCTTATTTATTTTTTCAAGAAAGACTACCCGATTTTCCGTCACTTATAATGAAATATTCATGGCAATTACTTTCTATTGTTGGATATCGTTTACAAATCCAAGTATATAAGGAAAAATTCATTGAAAAACTATTTAAATTGAGTGAAGAACAATACAATCCTGATGAATTATTCTATCGTGTATGTGTTTATCTTTCACGTATATGTTCACTGAAACCCTTTGCGAATATAAACGATGAATTACAACATGCAGTTAATGAATCAACGAGAAAACGAACTGCTTCGGCTTATGGTTTAGTTAGTAAAATAGTTGCTTCAGACGAAAATGAAGCTTATATTCCATCAATTTCGTTAACACCAACAACAATACGAATAAAACCATTAAAATTATGTCGAACAAATCGAGTTCTTAGAGCTACTGAAAAATTTGGTAGATCAACCGAAAATTTTGCTCTTGTTGATATTCGTGATGAAAACAGTTCAGATTTACAATCGCATCATTTTCTTCATTTACATGACTTTCTACTTAAGTTTTTGAATGATGGATTTATATTAATGAATGATAATCGAGAATATAAATATTTACATCACTCTCAATCTCAATTGCGTTCAAGACAATTTTGGTTCTATCATCATAATAATTATGACAAAGATCCCAGCAGAAGAAATTGCAGTTTTCAAGAAGCCTATAATTGGATGGGAGAGTTTGATAAGGAAGATAATCCAGCTAAATATGCTGCTCGTATGGCTCTTTGTTTTACTACAACAACAGCAACTGTTCTGGTGTGTATACTAATATATTTCGTTTAACATGTCTATGTTTCTTATATGTAGGTACCAAAAGAGAGAGTTATACACCATGCACCGGACATCAAGACTGAAGTCAATGGAAAAACTTTATTATTTACAGATGGTTGTGGAAAAATGTCAATTGAATTCAGAAATAAAGTAAGAAATATTAAGTATATGAAGTTTCTAAAATAGAATTCAATGTTGATAACTGGTACGGTAAATAATATGCTATAGTATAGATATGCCAATATTTCAAAATAGGGATGCAACGATGACATCAAAAAATCGCTCCACTGTTATCTTTTCACCAGTCTGCAGCAGTAAACGATCAGACTAGTGAGCCGGTAAACGATTTAACTATCATCGTTACACTCCTAATTGTAAACCTAGATAGAGTTCTAATAGTATCTATCTTGATTATTATTATAATTTTTTTTTTCATTTTAATTCGCAGATAAAAAAATCTCTCGATATCCGGACGGATTTTAGTTGTGTTCAATTTCGTTATAATGGTGCCAAAGGGGTCGTTAGTATTGATCCTGAAATGCCAGCAAATACTGATCTAGTTATTCGTGATAGTATGGAAAAATTCAAAACTGATCATGAGTTCTTTGAAGTATGTAAACGCTCAGCACCTCGAGGAAACTTTCTCAATCAACAAGCGATTCTACTTTTATCTTATCGAAAAGTGCCTGATTCATCATTTCTTATACTTCAACAAGAAAACCATCTAAGGCTTATTCGGGCTCTTCTCCGAAATTCTGATGCAGAAAAAATTATCCTTGAAAAAGTTCCAACATGGTTTTTGCCTAACGATATACATATGGCGAATATTGATTATATTCATGAACCATTTTTCAGACATTTACTTATCAATGCATGTTTACAATCAACAAGAGATTTACTTAGAAAAGCACGTATTCGAGTTCCACCAAATAAAGGTCGAAATATGTTTGGTATTGTCGATGAATATAATGTTCTTAAACCTGATGAAATATTTATTCAATACACAAAAATTGAAGATGGTCGACCTCGTAATAAAACTGAAATACTTGAGAAATGTAAAGTTGTCATTACAAAAAATCCTTGCTATCATCCAGGCGATATTCGAACATTTACGGCTGTTAATCATCCAAGATTACAACATTTAAAAGATGTTGTTGTTTTTTCACAACAAGGTGATCGTCCAGCTCCACATGATATAAGTGGATCTGATTTAGACGGAGATGAATATTTAGTGGTTTGGCATGAAGATTTTGTTCCATATAATACTAAGAATGCCGAACCATATGAATATGATACAAAAATACCTGAAAAAAAGTTTCGTACACTGGATAAAAGAAAAGAGGCTACTGTCACCATACTAGAGATAGCGGAAGAAGATTACTTAGGACGACTTTCGAGATTACATTTAGCTTTTGCTGATAAATTTGGTATTGATAATTTTACGCCACCAGCAAAAGATACTTTGTCAACAGTTGCATTAGCTGGCAAAATTAGTCAAGAAGTTGATAGTGGTAAAACTGGTTATCATCCATTAAATGATAATGATATTAAAAAGTTGAATAATGCACTTGAAAATAAACGACCAGATTTTATGGACAAAGCTGGTTTTGAAATGTACGAATCACCTAACATTCTTGGCAAGTAAATCTTTCATTGTCATATTTTCTATGAAAATCATGTATTGTCGAAGAAAATAATGAGTATTACTTTAAATCTTATCTCTTTTTAGTTTGTTTCTGCAGTTTAGTCGACCAAAATCTAACTTGATTGATTACATATTCATCGAAACTGAGAATAAATAGTAAAAACTCTTTTCTAATTTCTTTGATATAGAAAAAGCTCTATGAAGATACCAAGCCTTTTTCTCCTGTTCTGTCATTTGAGCATATGATAGTATCATACCAATCTCCACAGCAAGATTGATTTCTTTAATCATCGGAAAGTTTTGAAAAATACCCATAATCTACTAGATATTATTGTACGAATTTTACATTAGAATTGTGAAGTTAAAAAAACCACGGATAATTTTCAGTTTACTCTGATAGGAATAATAATAGCAGTTGTTTTTATCTGATTGTATAGGACAACTATTTCGTTCTTCGAAGCGAATATTACCAGGATGGAATCGACTTCTTCGACATCATCGTCATTTACGACATTTACAAGTTCGAACACAAGATGGGTCTGAAGAAGATGAAGAGGAAAATTTAAAAGCTGATGATGAAGAGATGAAGATTAGCGGAGATCAGTCACTTCTTCATGGTGTCGATCGCGAGTGTCCCGAGTATCATGTGTGTGCCATGTTGGCTAATAATTTAATTTCTGTTTATCGACAAGAAGTGTTCGAAATTCTTAATTTATATGGTCTATCACATGAAAGCGACTTATGGTGCCGAAACTCTATCAAAGGTCTTACTGGTGAACTTGAAGATACCGCCTACACTGAACTTGAACAGCTGGTAGATCGTACAAGAACTCATCTCTTCAATGATCAAATCGTTTATTGTGAAAATGATCTTTGTAATATTGATACAGCAATTAAAAAGCTATGCGTGCAATGTCAAAAACGACAGCAAGCACTAGTAGTTGCATGTTACTGTGGCTGTTACGATGGAGATCTTGCTTCGAAGCAAGCACCCATTTTAAGTTTACCATGGATATTTGCTTCGGCCCTCTTACAAAATTGTGTAAGTCAAAAATCACGACCATCGCCAAGAGGTGTATTGATTATGGCGATGAATCAAACTATTATTGACTTAGTTTGCCAGAAAAGATGGCTTCAATTAAATGGTCAGACCTTACGATTTAGAACATCGAGCATTCCTTTTGTTAGTGAAGTTAATGTTGACTTGACTCTTTGTGTATTCATTGAAATACTTCAAAGCTATATGGGACCCAAAAAACATCGAGATTGGCCTCTCGTATTAAGTTGTTTTATACGAAGTACACCATTTTTTACATTATCGTCTGAACAATCTCAATCCACTGACGAATGGAAACTAGTATTAAAATCGCATCGAGTAGATTTGGAAGATGATTATGCGGGTAGCCTTCTTTCAATTCGCTTGACAGAAGAGGACGATCGTACGATGCACAATTATTTTCAAGGTCTTCTTGACATTTGTTTTAATGAAGCACGATCAACTAATAATATAGACTTGCTCAAGATCAGTGAAGATGTTATATTATTATTGCAAAGGATGGCTATCAATGAGACAATTACAGAGATGGCATGGTAAATTCATATTTCAAGGAAATTCAAATTTTTAACAGATCTTCATTTGAATTTCCAAGTGACTATCTATAATTCTTTGGGTTGGATTGGGTTGCGTGAAGAAATTCACTTGAATTTCCAAATGACTATCTATAATTCTTTCGGTTGGGTTAGGTTGGGTTGAATGAGAAAATTCATTTGAATTTCCAAGTATCTATCTATAATTCCTTGGGTTGGGTAAGGGATCATTCAAGTATTACGTAATCAATCTGAAGGGGGTAGGGGTGAGCGCAAGATTACATCAATGAAACTTATAAATACAAAAAAAGCAGTTTTGATTACTTTAGGGGGGGGTGTGTGGGTGTGTGGGGTGTGGGTGTGGGCGTGAGGGTGTGGGCGTGTGGGTGTGGGCGTGTGGGTGTGAGTGTGGTTGTGGTTGTTTTCCCTTGGCCGAGACCTACCGACACTCACTCCAACACCCACACATCCACACCCACACTCACACCCTGATACATCGACCGTTATTACATTTCTAAAGATCAGCTGGACATGTTCAATTTGTTGAACGACAATCGATTGGTTTATCAGTACAATTTATACAATCAAATTGACTATCATACACCCATGAATATGGTATACAACGACCAACTTGTATTGCATTGAATACTATTAACAAAATATTGGACTTTCATCACTATAATTACCATCTATCAAGAAATATATTTCATTACAATAAAATTAATTATTTTCATGTTTTTTATATGCCGTTCAAATATTATTATTTGTTCATTTCATACTATCTGTTCCATTACAAATACGAGGTGGACAACTAATTTCATCAGTTACATTACAATCATTATATCCTATATGATTTTTAAATATAAAATGTTTTTTTTCTTTAGTAAATTTCTCATGGTATACATACCATTACAACGTTTAAAATTCTCAATAAAATGAAAATTATTACACGTAAATTTTTCGTCGGAACATTGAGGATACACACATGATTGAAATGTATGATTTTCATCACTAGCATCATTACAATCTATATTAGATTTTAAAAAATATAAAAGTAATTTTATTCTTTCTCTTGTAAAATATGATTTAAAGAAATTATTGAGTTAAACGAGTAGAAATTTAGAAGCCAGCAGACTTCAACAAATACTAGTCAGAGATCATGATAAACCTAGTTGATATATAATCAAATACTGTATATCATAAATATCTTCGAAATATATATTAACTATTCCCTTATTATCAATCTAAAGGATAAAATTTCTCAAATAGACAGAATAAATCTATCTCTAGTAATTAGACACAATATTCGTATGATGTTCTACATTTTAATCTTGCAAGAACTGTGTTAAACAGTTGTATTATTATTTTTTATTTATCAATTTTTCGATCCCATTGACTATTTCGACAGGTAAAATTACCTGAAGCAGACGATGATGAAAGCACTAAAAATAAATAAAAGAACATTTTTTCTTCTTCATTTTTCTTGTTTCAAAATTTTACTTACAAATACACATTCATCGATCATTAGCTAATTTTAATTGTTGTCTACTTGAACAAGCACATTCAAAATTTCATTATTAGCTGCTGTTTTACATATGTGACCGCAACCACCATTACTTATATTACATGGTGAATATTCACATTTTTTATGTTGATTCGAAACAATATGAATATCCATTAGACGATATGAAAAATCATTTTTGCATTTTAACCATATTAGTACCAGTATATTGTTCAACACGATCAATAAGGCTTCGAAAAGAGACAAAAAGCTATTTTATTTTTAGAAAATGACGTGTATTAAATAACTTACGAAGAGTCCAATCAGTCCAATAAATATTATGTTCATGAACGGTTATTTCAAATGGATAGACAACCGTTAAAATAACTTCTTGATTTAAACCATCTAATGATGCATGTTCAACACGATCACTAAATTTAATATATAGAAAATATTTTGTTTTATCGATTGTATTTCAATTGATGTTTAGTGGTAGACTATATGCATTACGTAGATCTCAGTGAACTATGACTATCTTGAAAAGAATTCACATTCTCAGCTTATAGTTGCTGAGATATAGTTCTCAAATAAATACTATCAATTAGAAAAAACTGACTTTTCGATTGCGAATTAAAACTTTATAAAGAGACAAAAATTAATAACAATGATTCATTACGAAACCTTCACGTCCTTTTGAGTTGTTCCTTTTCTCAACTAGATGCATAAAACCTATTTATTTATAAAAGATACGCTGCTATTACTTCAAATGTATCTATACTATCTTCACACAAATAAATTAAGGACATGAATTCTTCACAATTCATATTGTGTCTACACTGAAAACAAAAAGGGTTTCGTATATTACTACGAAGCCCTTTTTGTTTTCAGAGTATAATATATATATATATATACGTGGGCGGCGCAAGGTCAATTTTTCAGGGGACGTAATAAACTTTAGAATGAGACTATACTACCCCCGCCTCCGTGCCACAATGTACAGTTCGCCAGTAAAAGTTTTTTTTCTTGAATTTAACTTCTGATGATGAAAGATATAGTATTGGAGACTTGCTTATTAATAAATCTGACAGCATATTAAGAGTTTGAAGGCACTGTAACGCTTTTTACTGAGAACAGGCTTATTCAAAACGAGTTAGCAAAACTCAAGGTTTTTTTGTTATTAACTTTCGCTCACTGATAATTGGGTTTTCGACTTGTTGCCCATGTAAAATATTGTCTAACACTTTACCAGCTATTCCCTTTTCTAGAAATTATAGACGAAAGAATCAGTTATGAATGTTGCAGTCTTCTCATTGAAACTGTTTATTTAACTATTTATCTTAGTAGCTAGTTGATCTTCTTTATGAGTACGTTCTTATATAGTGGTTATAGACGGAAGCAAAAACAAGTACAAATTTATATTACTTAATAATCAAAAGTTCAGAAAATATGGGAAAATAATATAAACGGATGATTCATGACGCGCAGAAGCTGTCTCAACACATTTTTGCAAATTATCTTTTGAGAATCAGCATCTCGTGTAGTATTGTAAGTTAACAGTTAAGTGTTTTGTATATGAGTATTACTGATAGAAAAAAGTGCATTCTCGTCCAAGAATTATATACAAGTATTTTATTTATTTTCAAAATATTCTTTTTCTTTCATCTTTTTTCGATACAAAATCAATTGCAATAGCATCAATATCAATTTCATAATTTTTTTCTATATTTATTAATGCTAAAGATGTTAATCGTTCTTGACCAGTTGTATTTCTAATATATGTTTTAATTCGTCTTAACGACGAAAAACTTCTCTCACATCCACATACACTGACAGGTATCGTCCATAAAATTTGTAATAATCTATTCATCGTTACTAGTGATAAATGGAAATTTTGTTGAACGAAAAATTTTGTTGATAATGCTAAATTCTATTCTTTTTTTCCATCAAGTACTATTTTGTATAATCGTTGCTCTGCTCTTAAATCATCATAACTTATATTGTAAAATCGAGCAACTTCTTTTAATTCATCTTCAATCAAAAATACTTTTGTCAAGAATAATTTCTCACATAAAATTACAACAGACAAATTGTTTTCATCAAGTCTTTCTTTATTAAATATGATTCTTACTCTATATTTAGATACACTAATCAGAGCAATAGTATGGCAAAGTTTATTTCAAATTCTCATTCATTTTTGTATTTAGATCAATCAAAACGACGAATGGTTGGGTAAGTTACATTTCTAATAAGATTCTTGTTTTATATTTAGATCAAATAACCACACCAATAATGCGGTAAACTTTTTATTTCTAAATGTCTTTTAATCCTCTATTTAGGTTAATCGAAGCAAGCAACACTTAAGGAAGCCATATTTTATTCACAATTTTTATTTTATATTTAGATCCACTAACCAGTTAAATACTAAGACAAGCTTCCATTTATAATTATCATTTAGTTTTGTATTTAAATCAATCAAAAGAAGTAACGACAAAGTAAGCTATATTTCTAATAAAATTCTGATGTTATATTTAGATCAACTAAGCGAAGCAGCACAGGTAAGTTTTCATTTCTAATTGTAATCTGGTCATATATTTAGATATATCGAAAAAAGCAACGTCAAGGTAAGTTCTATTTAAAATAGAACTTAATTTTATACTTAGATCAACTAACCAGTTGAATACTTATAGGTAAATTTTGATTTCAAATTATTATTTAGTTTTATATTTAGATCACTCGAAACGACGAATGGTTAGGTAATATACATTTTAAATATAGTTTTATTTTACATTTAGATCAACTGACCAATCCAATAATTTGATAAGTTTTTATTTCAAAGTGTTATTTTTCTATTTAGATCAAGTGAAGCGTGCAATGGTTAGGTAAGTTATATTGCAAATATGATTTTATTTTGTATTTAGATCAGTTCAAGAGATCGATGGTGCGGGACGGTTTCATTTCAAATTTACGTTAAAAGTGTTATTCGAATCTGCAGAAGGCATCGACGATAAAGTAAGTATCTGTTAAATTATCATTCTCAATTCATATTCAGATGAGTAGAATCGTGTACTTGTCTACGAAGGTTTCAAATAGATATAAGGATGATAGTTAGTCTTCTAATGCTTAAGAACTTAGGAGGTGGCTCTCGGATATGGAACGGAAATGATATGAGATTTTATTTGTGTTGGTAGAATTATTGGCATCCTTATTGACCGTAGTGTTGCTAAGATGGTGTGGATATCTATGTAGTTGTCGCATGATTCCTATCATGTACGGTTAACAGTAGTTCATGGAGACGTATGGTTGTGTTATGCGTTATTTTCAATGAATCATTCTAAAACTATGGTTAGTGATGTGGTTCAAAACTGGATGGGCAAAGTTTGTGAATAATTTATTACATTGAGTAGAAAGAGTAGTGTACGAAACCATATTCTGGCGTTTTCAATAAGGGTTTCGTACAGAACCCGATTTATACGAAACCTAAAAGGGTTTCGAATTCGTTGCAAATCTCGAAACCCTTTTAGGCTCGGTACGGTACCTTTTTTTTTTAGTGTTTATTTATAATAATCCAAAAGTGGCTTCTCAACGACGTACAACTGAGTTGGCTATGATAAAACGTAAAATTGAAGCTCGATTTTTCGAAAAAAAAGTAAGCCTCGGTTGATCAGTCAAACAATTTATAGCCGATTTGGATATTATATTAAAAAATCTACATAATACATCTATTAGTAGTACAAATCGAAAATATAAACAACGACGTGAAATAATTTCATATGATAATTTATTAGAAAAAATTCAATTGAATCAGTATCAAATTACTACATGTCCAGTAATAACTGAAAAAAAGAAGAACTATGGTAGACTGCTCAAATGACTGAAACATAAGCTTCGTTCGACATGTATAGTTCTTCAAAAACAGATAAATCTAAAGTTTTTCATTTAGGTAAATTACAAGATGATCACAAAAAATTCGATGAATATATATGGAAAAAACTGAAGCATATGAATGTTTACATTAAAATAATCCATTACCAAATTTAATTGAACGCACAAATAAATATTTATTAAATTTAAGATTAACTAAATGGATTGCGCAGAAACAACATGAACAATTAAGCAGTAAATCAAACGAAGTGGAATTAGCTCATCTTTATTATTTACCAAAAGCTCATAAACCTGGCACTCCACTTTGTCCAATTATTTCTGATCTCAAGCATTCAACTATAAAAATATCAAAGTTTCTTGATGAATTACTTCGACCACTATTTAATAAAATGGCATCAAATACAAGTGTTACTTCTGGAACTGAATTTATTGAACAGTTACATCAATGATTAATATGTAATATACGTCAAGAAACTTTATTATGTACAATGAATATTTTAGATCTTTATACGATGATACCACAAACAGAAGGGGTTTTATCAATTAAAAAAATGTTAGCTAGATTACTTAAACATAAAACAAATTAATGGTTTAAAAATTGAAACTATTATTCGATTAAGCAGATTTGTGGTACAATATAATTATTTTTGTTATAATGGTCAATATTATCATCAAGTACGTGGTGGTGCTATAGGTTCTCCGTTAACATTAATAATTGCAAATTGTTATATGTTCTTTTTTGAACAAGATATTGGTAAACAAATTGAGAATACTAATGCACTCTATTTTAAGTTATATTGATGATATATGTATTACCATAAACTGGCCTACTCAACATTTATCTAAACAAATTGATCGATGGAATAAATTTGACTTAAATATCAAATTAAAAGCTGAAGTTAGTCATTCGACAAATTTTCTTGATTTATACATAGAAAATAAAAATGATGAAGTATTCACAAAAGTTTATCACAAATCATCTTATGAATCATATTATTTACCATTTAATAGTGTTCATCCTATGCATATGAAAAAGAATATTCCATTTGCTATGTTAATTCGTACTATTCAATATTGTTTAACATTCGAAGTATATTTCTATGAACGTGAAAAATTAAGAATGGCTTTATTGTTAAATAAATATCCTGGTGAATTTATAGAAAAACAATTCAGTCATGTATTTCAAAAAACATAATTTGACTCAGCCATTATCGATAAACAATTATAAAACATTACGTGAGAAAATAATTTATATAGATAAAAAAGAAAATATTCCAATTGATTATGGTAAAACAATGTTCATTCATTTTACCTATTGTTTAAATATGAAAACATTTTCTGCAAAATATCATGCCCTTTGGAACAAATATTTTATAGGATCTCCAATAGATGAAATAAAACCGGTCTTAGGTACTCGTAATGTCAAAAATTTACAACAACAGCTAATACATAATAAATAATATTTATTCAATCTGATTTTGTTGAAAATGAAAATTAAATAGATTGGTTATATTATTTAACTTATTATGATAAAAATAAAATTGGGCAACTTATTATGATGAATTGTATTTGTTATAATACAGAACTATATTTGTCACAATATAATTAACTTAATCAAAATAAATTCGTTACGTTATCTTTACAAAAATGTTATTTATGGAATGTAGGTATAAATGAATTTATAAATATTAAAATAAAAATATGTGGCTTATAGTGCAAAATTATCGTACCACAATATGATAAATTAAATCAAAATAGTGTGTTTCATTAATTGTGCAAAAAACTCTTTCTAAAACTTATGCAGAAACAAATTTATACAAATACAAATTAAAATATAACAACCAAAATTAAAATGTAACAAATAAATTTAAAATGTACGACTTATGATGAACGTAATCAAACATCTTTCTACAAGTGAACTATATAGAGCAAGAACCTAGTTAATATCACATGAATGATTACAGTTTTTTAATGTCGTATTATTTCAGTTATTCAAAGAGTTGCTTTATTTGTTGCTCTTTTTTCTTTTCTCTTCTTCTTATCTTTTATTGTGTTTGGTCTTGTATGTTTTATTCATTTTTACATTAGTATACGTATTTTTATTTTTTATCTTGTGCGTGAACATCTAATGCAGAGCCCTGAAGAGTGTTTTAATATTTCAATAAAGAACATGAAACGCATTGACAAATTAAAATCTGCATTTCTTAAAATTATTTTTTTTCTGGCACAACCCATGTACCCGATAATGGATAAATAATGGAAAATGATCCATTATTTTCCATTATTTGAAGAAAAACATGAATTAATGCATTATAATTAATTATTTTTTGACTTTTCAATGCATTTCAATGCATTATTTCTAATAATGCTGAAAATGAAGGATAATGCCTAAATTTTCAATGCATTGTAATGCATTATTTAGAATAATGTAGAAAATTCCAATAATGCATTATTATCCAATGCATTTCAATGCATTATTTCTAATAATGCAAAATTGGCTTGAGAATGCAGCAAAATTTCAATGCATTACAATGCATTATTCCAAATAATGGAGAATTTTAAGATAATGCATTATTATTCAATATATTTCAATGCATTATCAGGTATAATGTAGAAATTGAGGATAATGCATTATTATTCAATGTATTTCAATGCATTATTTAGAGTAATGTTTTTAAATTAGAGAATTCACCATTTCTGTAAAAGAGATATTGAAAAGTGATTTGACAGGTAGATATTTGATCTAACGCAGCTTTCTGTGTATCAGGTGCTTTTCAATAAGAGTTGCGCAAGTTAAAGAACTAATAAAAAATGTAACCTGAGTTACAGCGCTCAGAGTATTTTTCGAATCCCTTTTCCCTGATAATGGAAACCTAATCGTATTTTTAGAAATCACTAGGGTATTCAAGGAAACCTACACTATTGAAAACTTGAGCCAAAATCTGATGAGGTATATCAGATTACCCTTTCAGGTTCCAAAATATTTCCCAAGGCAAGCCGAAGAGTTTCCGAGTTTACTCAATCGGGCAAATGTGCACCAACGAACCGAAATCCGATCTCGAGTTTCTATTTGATGCAACGAAACGCTACTAAAGTTTTGAATGCTTTTAGAATATTCTGTAGAATGAAAGGGATCACAGTCTTAGACCTCTCAAGAGGTTTTCCCTCTTCGTTATTGCTCAGTTTCGGATGTATCTGGTGAACTAAAACTGCTCACAGTATCAAGTATAACCGATTAGATAATGAATCATTTTGTTTTCCAAATCTGAAACCATTTTAATACTATTGAAACAGTCTTATGTCATATATACGTTCTTGAACTGTTCTCGGTTTCAACTACAATTGGACATGATCCAAGGGGTAAGTTTGAATTCAATAATAATAAAATTATTTATTCATTATATTTTGTTTTAGGCTCTTATCGATCTGCTCGAAATGGTAAGTTACAATTCAATATTAAAATTATTTCTATTTCTTTTTCCTGTGTTTTAGGTTGATATCGATGACGATCGAAATGGTAAGTTCGAATTTAATAATAATAAATTTATTTATTCATTAATTGTCTTTTTGTTTTAGATTCTTATCTGATATGATCAAAATGATACATTATGGGATAGATATATATAAGAGGGTTGATGAAAGTTAAGGGGTTAAGTTAAGTTCGAGAGATAGATTAAGGCAAAGGGGATAGATATAGATAAGTTAATAGATTAAGGTTAAGGGAATAGATATAGATAAGTTAACAGATTAAGGTTAAGGGGATAGATTTAGATAAGTTAATAGATTAAGGTTAAGGGGATAGATAAGTTCATAGATTAAGGTTAAGTGGATAGATAAGTTAATAGATTAAGGTTAAGGGGATAGATAAGTTCATAGATTAAGGTTAAGTGGATAGATAAGTTAATAGATTAAGGTTAAGGGGATAGATAAGTTAATAGATTAAGGTTAAGTGGATAGATATAGATAAGTTAACAGACTAAGGTTAAGGAGATAGATATCGATAAGTTAATAGATTAAGGTTAAAGGATTAAGTTAAGGGGATAGATTAAGGTTAAAAGGTTAAGTTAAGGAGATAGATGTGCAGAACCACAGAGATACAATTATGGTGATTAGGATATCGATTTAATAGGATTATATGAATCTTGTATAGCAAGTGCCAAATATGAAGTTTTCAATGCATTGTAATGCATTATTATAAAAAAATGCATTATGATGCGTTGATAAATCAATGTATTGCAATGGATTAATTAAAAATAATGCATTATAATGCATGAAATAGGTTGCATTATCATGTAATTGCATCCATTGCATTTCTATTGTAAAATAATGCATTGCAATGCCCATTATTTCATAAAATCGGCTACATGGGAAGTCACAATAAATTATTATTTAAAAATTCATCTAAATCTCGTCAAAATAATCGATTGCTGAAAAGCAAACGTCGAGTGCAAGCAGATTGTATTTGTCTTTTCTTCAAGATAGATAGGTCAGTCTGTTTTTCGATTGAATATATGAGTTTGTCGCCCGTGAAAGTAGTACAAAGCTATTTATAGGAAAATTACTTTTTACAAACATTTTCGACTGATACCAAGGCCCACAATGGTCAATGCTTTCACTTGATGGTCGCCTACCAGGAAATCCAGTCTGGTTCCCTCAAAATATTTTGAAAACAATAGTTGTGATATACCATTCGACGAGCCATGACTTGCTCGGCAACATAGTGTGTTTGGTTTTTTAATTCTGGATAGGTTACCGAATTCAACATGATTCGTTTTAAAATTCTCAGAACTTTTTGATCCTTCTAGTAAAAGTCAAAAATTACCATGTAACAAAAGCATGTATCAACATGAAATCATCATGTCACATACGTAAAAGATATCAACAGTGTAGTCTAAAGACAATTCAATATATTTTCTTGATAACTGACGATGGTCGATACATAATCTCAATCTCAATACTGTAAGCTACTACAGTTGAGTCGATATTGGTAAAAGACAATTTTAAAAAAATTAAAGTTTATGGCTCTTTAATCGACATAATAAAAACGTATCGCCATTGTATCAAAAGCTCGTTCATTCCTCGGAGTTAATGAATATCTCACTCAAATTTTGCTTGGCCTCACAAGGAAGAGACACATGTCAAACAACTCTGTGAACGACAAAATATAAAGCGCGCTTCCCTCTATTCGTCAATGTACTTGGTTTCTAGTAAGACATTCGAAAGAGGCAGAGAAAGGTAATGTACAAACCAACCATGCAGTATGCGTCACTCTTTACATATGTATTGTTCGTTATATGAGTCAATTAGTTTTTGTTTGCTTATGATTTTTGTATCAAGCTGATCAATAATTACACCATTTAAAATCTTTGACTGTCAGTAATGAGACAAAACACATTATTATCTCTAGACATCATGGTTCATATAGGAAAAGCAAGCATAGACAAAAACTTATTAGTAAAAGTTAGCGACATCGTATTACGTTGGTTAACTAGATTCGTCATCAAAATTAGAATTCCGTTTGACGAGTTGCTTTTTTTTTGTATATCTATAGAACGTCTCTTTTAGTATGGTACCCATTGGCAGAAAAATCAAGAATAAACATAGCATTCTAAATTTTTTGTTCTTTATTCATCATTGCATTACGTCAATTCATTTTGGTTATAATTTTCAAATGACTTGTTCAAGCGAACTCATAGTTTCAGAGATTTTGGAGGCCACAGAAATGCATCTTTCTACGAAGAAACAAATTTTCTAAGCAACCTAATTGCTAAGAAAAATTAGAAATAGCATGGCTAAAATGTCATCGCATTGTGCTAGAACAAATCCATAGATGACTTGATTAATGAATCTTTGAAATAGGATCCATCGATGAATACTCTCATATGACCTTATTCCAGAGCAGAAAAAAAGAACTATCTCCGCATGAATGCAAGTCTACTGACATAAGGATTAATAACAGAAAAAAAAGAATAAGATATACATGCTGTCATGCCTTCATTATGCATGTCTCATAAATTGTAGCTTTCTCATTGATCTTTGTTTTCTTTTCTCTTTTGCTTATCTCGTAAATTGTCTTTTCCTGCAATATTGTTATCTCTTTTCTTTTGCTCTATAATCGAAACACATTCATTTTCTTTTTACGCTATTACAATACAGAGAACTACTGATCAAATCTAAGTTATATCGATAGGGATT